GTTGAGCTTCCCTCGTTTATGCGTCGACTTCATGAATTTATTCGCTTACATAAGATAATAAAAAATTAACTGACTCTAACCAGAACGAAATCCCCTTGAAACAGTTCTTAAAATCCCTCTATATAATTACTGGTAGGTTCGATATAATCAAATCGGCAACAGATCTGGAAAATTGCATTTAATCTATTGTTAACTGGGGCAAGAACTGGCTTGTTATTTTTAACGCCTCCAAAATAAAACTAATATATTTTGATCATCTTAGAGAACCTTTCTTTCACTTCATAAGCAGGGTTGATACAAGAGACTGACTCAATACGCATTCTTTGGTCAATTGCTCTGATCAACAGTTGCATAATATCGGAGTTCTTGCAGTGCGACGTCGCGCATGGAAGGGTGTCCCTGCACGCACCATCGGTGGGCAAACCTGAGGCTACATTATGTTGCACTCTGCGCCAGTTACTTTCTGTCCATGTCGCATACGATGATCGTCTGTTGCTATTACTTACGAACATAACTCAACATGACCATAAACAATAAAAAAATAAACATAAAACAGCTAAAAGAAATAACCTAAACACTTTAACATTTCCTTTTCCGACATCCGTGGCATTTGTACCAACTTCTGCAGTTTGGAATCGTTACTTTATAAAAAGTCTCCTGAAACATTTTTATAATAAAATTACTAAGAATATATTTTTATAGCAAAATGAAAATCAATGTAATGCTAAAAAAATTCATTTTTATAGTAAAATTACCAGCAATAGATTTAAAAAAAGAACAACATTTTTGTAGTTTAATTGCCAGTAATAGATTAAAAAATGACCAACAATATTGTATCAAATACGAATTCTAAAAACATACTATTGCCCTGAAATTATAAAATTATGTACAAAATATCTGGAGTTGAAAACACAAAATTTTATACAAAATATTTGGATTTTGGCATTAAATAATACATAGAGGTGTTGATATGCCGCTAAACAAAATCAACCAACCATCTATCTATCTATCTATCTATCTATCTATCTATCTATCTATCTATCTATCTATCTATCTATCTATCTATCTATCTATCTCAGTCTGATTGTTTGTTTGTTTGTTTGTTTGTTTGTATCTATCTATCTATCTATCTATCTATCTATCTCAGTCTGATTGTTTCTATCTATCTATCTATCTATCTATCTATCTATCTATCTATCTATCTCAGCCTGACCTACCTTTTCTGTATGTCTATTCGTATATCTATCTTTATATACACATTTTACACATATGACCCATTGGAACAGAAAGAATCAACACAGCCTCCTTCTCCTCCTCCTCATCATCATTATCGTCATCATCATCCTTCCCATGGCCGGGTTTGCGCGTATGGTGGCTGCACAGGTGACTATCTAACCTGTTTCCTCCACATGTCTAGGTTGCTAGCCGGAGAGTTATTTATTCATATGTGTGGTGTGTTATGGACAAGAAGACCAAACGGAACCTATCTTTCTCTAGATTAATTCATTGCCGATGTCCTCTAAACTGAATGACCGCTGACTCAATCGTGACGAACAATCCATCCTGGTCGTCGCCATCAGTTTAAGAATCACATGTTTATAACAAAATTACAATCAATACAACTCTAAAAATGCATAAAAATACATCTTTACAGTAAAATTAACACCGTTACATTTCTATAAAAAATTACCAACAATACACTTTTGTAGTGAAATTGTCAGCAATACATTCTATATTTACCAACAATATATTTTATCATCTATAAACTGTAGCCCCTTCACATAAGGCAGGCAGACTGTTTTCTGAGTGTTGTTGTCCTCTTCCTCTTGTATCAGAGAAAATACAAAGGATCTGCGGTCCATATAACATCAGGACAACCTTCAAAAGCTTGACGACATTTGGCAGATATCTCTCCCGAGTAAGACCCCCCATAGAGGAGAACATGACTAAAGACTGTGTGTACGCTATCCCGTGCAGCTGCAGAAAGGAATATAAAGGGGAGACAGGCCGCCCCCTCAATGTAAGGCTTCAAGAACACCAGAAAGCTGTAGCACGAGGGGAAGTGGAAAAATCAGGCGTGGCTGACCACATATGGAGAGAGAAAGGAGATCACCGCCCTCTGTGGGATCAGGTTGAGATCATAGACAAGGAACACCATTGGAAAATGTGTAAACTTAAGGAATCAGCACATATGCTAGGCCACAAAAATCTCCTGAGCCGACCAAGCATAGAAATGAATACAATATGGGAACCAGTAATAAGGAGTGTCAGAGAAAAACAATAGAGTTGCAATATGAGACTGTAGGCCAACGGACGACAATTCAGGAGCAATGCTGAGTTGTGGGAAGCAATTCTTGACATATCTCGCGGCATTACGGCAGATGACATCCTACAATTAACAAATTCTATGGATCGTCGACTTTTTCAAGTAATTTCAAAACAGGGAAAGCACATTCCCTATTAATTTGTTTAAATCTGTGCCTTTGTTTGTATCTGTTGTGTATGATACACCTAATTTACATAAGCGGACTACCGACCATATAAATATGGGTTGGTACCGGAAGACGGGGAAGATAGTAGAGATTAAGAAATTGAATCCAGAGACTCTGCCCGACTGCGATTTAGTCAACCCATTATGCAGGAACAGTCTTCCCAAGAATATACCAAACTAACTGTAAATATTGTGTACCTATTCTTTGTTTCAATACATTTTGTTAACGTACATTTTGTGTTGTATTATTCCATGCTTATTTAAGCTTCAACAGTATCTGTTATTGTTTGTTTGGTTATCTTATTTATTAGCTTCTTTTGATCATAAACATTCACTTTCAACATTAATAAACGTTTTGTTTGTTCAATTCTGGGAATTTTACTAAACTTTTCTAATAATTTGGCACGTTCAAATCACCGTACTGATAACAAATATGGCACCAGTTTGTTTACATTGCGCAGATCAGTGATTGCGTAGCTCAGTGTTGCCAACATTGTGTGAAAATTTTGTGTGTTGATTGGACGGTTTTTGAAATATTAGAAAAAAAGTTGTCTCGATAATAATTTGGCACGCAGTGTATAATAAAAGCGAATGTCATTACGTCACCGTGTCACACTTTTTCAACTTTACTCTTAGAGGCCGTAGCCCAATATATCATAGCATTTTGGCAAAAGGCCGACTCCGTGAGCAAATTAAAAACATTCCGGGTCGGATGCAGACCCCCAATCCTGAATTTTTGGTTTCTCAAGTTTTCATTACGGCGATTATTTTCCGCGATTTTTTACGTGATTTTTTGCGACGAATTTTTTTAACGATAACAATTTTTATAACTTGGAAAAAATTTTAAATTAATTAATTAGGAAATCCAGCGAATGTCTCCCACGAAATAAAAATAATTGTTTGTACCGAAAGTATGGACCTACTTACATCAAATTGTCTTTAAATTAAGTGGCGACAGAAGAAATTTGAACTTTTAAAAAGAAGCCTTTAAATTAATGCAATACTTAAATGCAACGATCAGTTTTGAGTTTTTCTGTAGTTTATTGTTGTCTATCGCATTCTACTCCTCCCTACCTATTGTGATGAAGGCCCAATCAAGAGCCGTCCATAGGAGCAGATTTTTAAGCTAGTAACACATACACACACACATATATATATATATAAATGCACACACACACACACACACACACACACACACACACACACACACACACACACACACACACACACACACATATATATATATAAATGCACATACACACACACACATATATAATATATAAATCAGTTAATTTATGAGCACTGTTTTGTAAAAATAAAAAAATTATCAATAAGAACACCGGATTATATATCTTAATGTTCTTTCTTTTTATTTATATATACATAATATATATATATATATATATATATATATATATATATATATATATATATATACACACACACACACACACATATATATATATATAGATATATATATAATAAACACACACACACAAAACCCCTATATATATATATATATATATATATATATATATATATATATATATATATATATATATAAAGAATTGTCATTCTTGATATTAATTTCATTTTATCTGTTTCACACATGCGCATTTGAGATTTATTTGTAGGATTTTAGCCAAAATAAATATTCCACACACATTTTGTATCTGTGAACACGTTGAATAGATTTTGATAGATGTCTATATGCAGACATACATAAAATACAATACATAATGTATAACGATAAAAGAATATATATATATATATATATATATATATGTGTGTGTGTGTGTGTGTGTGTGTGTGTGTGTGTGTGTGTACTGCAACAAGAAACACGAATAAACAAAAATGTAGAATTGTTCTTTGCCTAGGTTGAAGGTTGGGAGAAGAAAAATATAGCTTAAGTGTGGAGTGGTTTGGTATGATAAGACGAAGAGAAATTATAAGCAGAGGGCTGAGATGCGGTGTTAGAAAAGATATCAGAGGATGGCGCACGATTATGTTGGTCAGCGTTCCATGGGACAGATAACAACGCGGAGGGATATGCAAAAAGAAAGTCTCCTACTGATCCTCGCCTGAAGGGACAATAATACGGGCGACAAACGAAGGAAGTTGCTTGGCTAAATAATAATAATAATAATAATAATAATAATAATAATAATTGTTAAATGAAAGAGAACGCTAACATAAAAAAATGGCCGGAGAAATATGTTTTTGTTCGGGTCGCTGGATTGCATTGCGCGCTAGGAAAGACTTCTGGAGGACTAGGTATGTAGATAAATAACTCGATAGTTACTGAGGGCTCAACTGGAAAAAAAAAGACGGAAAAGGAAGAATGAGTGTAGAGGGAATTAAATTAGATAGTAAAGAGAGATTTGTGGAAAAAGTAAGGAAAATAATTGTAGAAGAGGCGGAAAGAAAAAATTGTTAATATAAGGAATAGCAAAACAAGATGGCTGAAAGAAGCAGATGGGAGGAGGAAAGTATATAAACGGCCAAAGAACTATGATAAATAGAGGGGGAGATTAAAAGTGATGATGTTGAAGTGAAAAGAGGAGAAAGAGATAGATAGATAAATAGATAGATAGATAGATAGATAGAGAGAGATAGAGAGAGAGAGAGAGAGAGAGAGAGAGAGAGAGAGAGAGAAAACATGACAGTGTCCGAGAAAAGTAGAAAAAAATAAGAAATGGCAAAAGGAGAAAATAAGCGAGAGAGAAAAGAGATTAGGAAAGAAACAGATTAGTAATCGATTAAAAGAAGAGAGAAAAGGATATAAACAGAGTGAGAAAAAGAGAAACTTGTAATAAAAAGAGAAAGCGAACGAGAACGAGTTAACAGTAGTTAGCGATACAAGAGTAGACACCGCGAAGACACAGCAGATTTGAAAAGAGAGTGAGAAATGGTCAAACAAAATATGGAGTGAGGAAAAGTGTAGAACAGAGAGAGAGAGAGAGGCAGAGATAGATAGATAGATAGATAGATAGAGAGAGAGAGAGAGAGAAAGTGATCGAGAAAAATAGAAAGATGGAGTGAGAAAAAGAGAGAGAAAGGGAATGAAAATAAAGTAGAAAAAATTATAAAGGTATGAAAAATATTAGAAATAAATTTACACTTCTAACACGTATTAAGCATGTTGGATAAGAATAAAAGTCATTTCCTAGCAAATTGTCCGATTTCACGAAATAGAAATTTAATTTTAGGACATCTCTATCTATAAAAGGCAGGTTGTACGTGTGTGTGTGTGTGTAACGAATGCACAGCCGCAATTTTTGACGGATTTGCACCAGAATTTACATGCACATGCTCCAAGTTAGCGAGACAGTCAAGGCCGACGTTGCATTTCCCAACTCCCATCGATAGTGGAAATAATCGATTTTTTCATGCTTCTACGGCAGTTTTCATGTAGTTTGCGGCCATTTTGTACTGGCCTGAGTGAGAGCCAATAGCTGGCTGCCACGAATAGGCAGGAAGATTCTATTGGCCAGCGTGAGAGCCAACATCTGACTGACACGAATGTTAACTAGCATGCTAGCATGCAAAAAAAAAAAAAAATCGATAGCTGCATTCGTCACAAGTGAGAAAAATTTAAATCTGCATTGCACTTTACTCCAATTGGCTCATTCGCTTGCTTAAACTCAACGTTGATTCTGAGTCCGTGTGAAAAAGTATTTGTTGTTAACATTCTGTTTTCATTCGGTTTTTCCAGTTACAAGTCCTTTTTTAAAGCTGATCGTTTCGTGTTCATTTTGTTTAGTTCTTTTTTCGTAACAGATTTAATGTTTAGTATAGAGCTTAGAAAAAATTCGCAGTGTGAGATAGGCAAGAAGTAAGGCATGTAGCAACATCAGCACGGCAAAGGGCACTCCTTTAAAGGCAAGGAAGGGCAAACATATTTTAAGTCAAGTGATAGTCGTACGATTTTTTGAATCAAGCACGGGCAACGCCGGGCCATGCTGCTAGTCTCATATATATATATATATATATATATATATATATATATATATATATATATATGTATTTTTTAAGGATTATTTTTTGTCTGACTTTTTTTTTATAAACTTTACTTTTAGTGGGTACACGTGTTTGATCGCCACAGGAACTACCACTACCCGTAAAGAATATAGGGATTTTTTTATTTATTTTAGATGTTTCGGTAAAGAGAACGTAGCAGCTTCGTGGAAGATCATCTTGCATGAAAATCGGAAGATGTGTTGCACCGGTTAGCAGAGAATCGTAATGCATCTATAGTAGCGGCGCACATAGGTGTCATTAGCCATCGAAAGATTCAAATGACAGTTCCTAAAAATTAAGGTTTCTACTGCATCGCCCGTCCCGCGGATAAAAAAAAGGGGGGGGCCGTCCTGCAAATCCGGTATGGTATGTAGTCGAAAAGTCAGCTACATTGCCAGAAACAAATCTACTGGGGTATAAACAAAAGACCCAGATTTCTTCGTTCAACACCAGAAAACTATCCAGTGGACTTCCGATCTGTGAAATCACTGCTGCAGCCGTAAATTACAACCAAGATATCCTTTGAGTCCAAGAATACCGCCTCTGCCATGAAGATGTTCTTTTGAAACATCATTATGTAGGAAAAGGATAGATACTCATAACCTCACCAGCTACAACGCCAATGCATCAGCTGGAGGGCTTGGTACACTGATGAGACCTAAAGCCCCTAAAAAACACTTGATAACACTGAGTCAATAACACCGCGCATTATTGTTGCATCATTTAATGAAAACCCCCAAACCACAATTGTTTGTTGCTACAACCCAACAAACATAGCTGAATAAGATGAAGTGGACCATTGCTACAATGATCTATCTCCTCTCATTCGACCGTCCTGGGTAAGACATTAAACTACATCAGCGTCCTAGGTAAGACGATAAACTACGTTCAGCAGCAAGGCCTGTGATGAGGAGGTTTTGAAGAGCGTGGAACCACCTCTTAATTGCTGGTGTTCGCAGGTCCACCCTGACCCGGGGTGGTAGCACCTGTTAGAATCACAGCTATGGGCAAATAGTTAACTATTACCAGCAATAAATTTTTCGAAAAAAAATTATTACCAGCAATACAATTTTGAAGGAAAAATATTACCAGAAACAGATTTTTGACAAAAGAAAATATTACCAGTAATAAAAAATGTTGTCGGCATTAAATAACCCATTGAGGTTGATATGCCGTAAAACAAAATAAACCAAACCAATCTAAACCAAAGAATACATATTCTATTCATACGAATCTATCCTGAAAATGTTGTCGGCATTAAATAACCCATTGAGGTTGATCTGCCGTAAAACAAAATAAACCAAACCAATCTAAACCAAAGAATACATACTCTATTCATACGAATCTATCCTGAAAATGTTGTCGGCATTAAATAACCCATTGAGGTTGATATGCTGTAAAACAAAATAAACCAAACCAATATAAACCAAAGAATACATATTCTATTCATACGAATCTATCCTAAAAATGTTGTTGGCATTAAATAACCCATTGAGGCTGATTTGCCGTAAAACAAAATAAACCAAACCAATCTAAACCAAAGAATACATACTCTATTCATACGAATCTATCCTAAAAATGTTGTCGGCATTAAATAACCCATTGAGGTTGATATGCCGTAAAACAAAATAAACCAAACCAAACCTCTCATTTGACAAATGCCTCATCATAATGTCACAATGATTGACAGAGACTTCAATGCTAAACTGTGTCAAAATGATGGCTATGAACACTCATTTCACGAAAACACAGGCAGAAATGGAATGTTGCAACATGATTTTATAACAGAGAACAAAATGTTCTATCTGGACACAAAATTTCAGAAGAGGAAAGGAAAGAAATGGAACTTTACATGTGCAAACGGTGTCAGATCTCAAATTGATTTCATTTTCATCAATAAAAAAAAGGATCAACTGTGAAGTAAATTATAAATTTTTCAAGTCCTTCAGTACAATGAATTCAGATCATCGCATTGTCTCCATTCAGCTTAGTCTCAGACCCAACAAACCCAAAACTAACCCCCCCCCAAAAAAAAAAACAAAACAAAAAAGAAAAAACAAAACACCGATAACAGTGGTTTACACTGCGCAACAGTGGCATTACCAACCAGTTCAAGATTTCCCTGACAAACCATTTCAACGCTCTTCAGGACGAGAACACTGAAAACTCTACAAATTCACTATTTACATTATTCGGACTATTGTCCTAATCTTTGTCGCCATATTTATTACAACGTTTCGGTCATTGTATGCTCCGGCTTTCTTCAGGTGGTTGAAATGTCGAACTGAACACTTTATTTTGCTTACTGGGATAGACTGTTCGAGTACCACGTGCCATGTCTAATGGATGTCAGTTATCAGTTATCTCCTGTTAATTCCCCTCACCTAGTTCTCCACTGCCTTAATCGGGTATTGAACTCACACTCTTTGGGTCCCGTCACTGGATCTAACCAACGCCTTTATTCACACTGTCATGTGTTCTTGACAAAGATGGCGGCAAAGAGTCCGAATAATATAAATAGTATACATAATACCTCATCTCAGAAATATAGACAGATTCTACAAATTCAGTATGTAAAAATGTTGAACAATTCTGTGCAGAGGCAGCAGATGAAATAATCCGAGTGAAACCAAAAGCCTGACAACGAACCCTATGGGAAACTGAAGAGGTAACCAAGAAACGAACAGGTTTGAAAAAAGATGCACAGAACAAAAACGCATACCCAACAAGAGAAAATAGATACCTCCCGCGAACTGCTCAAGTTGCTCTCAAATAAACATATGACGTGAAACAAACAGCATTCATACAAGCTAAAATCGATATTATCGGGAATGTATCTATTAACAAGCAAGCAGTGACTGCATGAAAAACAGTCAATGAAATCAGTGGCCGCTAAAATTGTAGCAAAGCCAAGATAAAGATTATGGATTAAAATGAGAGGATTAGGAAATGGAAATGCTGGGCAAGCCTCCCACAATTACAGTGAAACCCACGTAAAGAATAATCGAACAAGAAATCGATATCAAGAAAGGAATTTTCAACATGGACGAACTGACAGCTGCAAAGAAGCAAATAAATCGTGAAAAGGCTCATCTCTACTGCAATCAAGTTTATCAATCAGTTCCCGTTGAGCGCTGGACAGAAGATTGTATACTCCTCTTTTCAAAGAAAGGAGACCTTGGCCAAACAAGAAACTATCGAGTGATAACACTCATCACAATAACCTTCAAAATCTACAACCTATCTTATTGAATCGCATCCGTCCTGAGATGGAAAAAGTCCTCCGCAAAAATCAAAATGGTTTCAAACAAAACAGATGGACAGTTGGTCAAATTCTAACCATCCGCCGTATAATTGGGGGTGTAAAAGCCAAGAACCTCAAAGCTGTCCTTGTATTTGTTGATTTCTCCGAAGCCTTCGACTCCCTCTATCGTGGCAAACTCGAAGAGATCATGTTAGCATATGGCATTCCGCAAAAGACAGTATCGTCCATCATGACGCTGTATAAAATCCCTCGTTCAATGGTCCGATCTCCGGATGGAGATACGGAATTTTTAAGCATTGTCGCGGGAGTTTTGCAGAGATATATACTTGGCCCTTTCGTTTTCATTCTCTGACTAGACACATTTCTGGGGTACACCCTTGAAAAAGCTCGCAGCGAAAACAATAGCAGACGTAGATTACGCAGATGACCTTGTCTTGTTGTCAGACACAATTGATAAGGTTACCGAAATTCTCCATTTCATCGAAGAAGCGGCCGGCGAGATTGATCTCTATATTAATGCTAACAAAACAGAATTTATCAGCTACAACCAAGAAGGAGAAATTAAGTTGAAAATCGGCAACAACCTCAAATCTGTCCTTGATGGCCTGAGCACCATCTGAAAGTCCCCCCTCAAAGAGGGAGGACTTACAGATGGTGCCTGTCTGGAATTGGGATTTTGAATTTTTTTAGATAGCAGTCCTACGCGTTGTGTTTTGTAAGGGACTTGTACTGATGACAAAGGGGAGGGCATAAAGTATCTCTTTAAGGGAAAGTGGTCTAGAGTCGGAGTTTATTTATGGCCAGAGCCTTTCATTGCATGTAAATGAATTTCGGTTCCTGCTATGGGATACTAAACTATGCAAACAACAAGTATGTTTTATTGGGATTTACAGTAAGTAGTATTTAGACAATAAGGGTTTAATACTAATAACTGATGAGGGATCTAAATATAAAACAAATTAAAGTTAAAATAAATTAGTTGAGTGATAGATTTATAAATTTTGTGAGTAATACCAAAACACCCATTACACACCCATTACAACACACATACATATACCCACACACATGTACGTTTACATACACTTTTTCCAGGTTTTCATATTAGACATTTAGCAATCTTCCCAAATGAGAAATCAAGAGAGGAAAAAGATCATTCAGGCTTTCAATAATGGTACCAACATTCATATTCTTGATTCCATCTCTAAAGTCCATTCAAGAACCATCAAGAGAAGGGTGAATAAGTTTAGAAAAACAGAGAACAGTAGAGAGGAAAACTGGATCAGGAGGTCAGAACGGGAAGAGGGATCATCATTTCAACTTAAAGCTAAAGGGATCAACTAGAAAAATTCCAAGTCAATCCGTAAGACGGTTGGCACGTGAGAGAGGAGTTTCAGATATGACAGTCCAAAGATCAGAGAAAGTGAAATCGTACATGAAACGTGTGAGGCACCTTGTCACTCTGGGAAAGCAAGTTAGAAAGTTAGAGAGGGAGAAAATCATCTTGAATAAGTTGGAAAAATGATCCTGAAATAATATATATATATATATATATATATATATATATATATATATATATATATGAACTTTATTTGTCCTTCATCAGCTTCCGATCATTAGGTATAATTAATTATTGATGAACATGTCATTTTCGTTTATGATTGATTTCATAATGTTTCTGTTAAGATTGGAGATTAAATCAAAGGATATCATCAGGAATTTCTTTAAGGCCACAGCAGAATCTGTCTTAAACAGACATAGACACTGACGAAACACTAAAAAGCATCACTTGACGGAACATACACAAGGATGTTACGAGTTGCATTGGACATCAGCTGGAAGAAACACACGACAAAGAATCGCCTGTATGGACACCTTCCTCCTATCTCAGTTTCGCTAAGAGAGAGTGAAGGCTTCGGCTAGTTAGTTAGTCCTAGAGAAGTAAGTCAGAACTTGTGAGTGACATCCTCCTATGGAACCCATTGCGCGGCAAAATATCGGTTGAAAGACCTCATCACACCTACATTGACCAACTCGTAGATGACTATGGATGCCATCTGGAGGACCTGTCGACAGCGATGTCTAACAGAGATGGACGGAAAGGAACGAATCAGGAGAACCCGAGAAGAATTCTAGACATAATGATGACACGTGTTTGAGTTGTTACGCTTGGAAAGTTGAACTAATGAATGAAAATACCGATCGAGTAGCGAGGGGGTTGCAATGTTTCGTCTGTAGGAAAATAAGAATTGGTTATTAATTCCTCACCTAGAAGATTGCCTAGATGCTTTTGAACACTGTCAAGGCTGTAAAGTAAAGATTGCTCTATCCCAGACATGACAGGAATACACTTTCCTCTTTTTTGTCCGATCTGACTCTTGTAAACATTGAGGGATATTTCATTCAGGTCGTTTTCTTTTATTATTGTACTAGCTTCGAGTAATTCTTCACAGTATTTGGTATCATCTACAAAGATTTGTCTTACGTTAATAGCTGTATTTTGGTGGTTTTAGTTGACGTGAGGATCGATATCTGCACTAATTTTCATGACAAGTTAGCCTACGAGAGAGTGTCGTGCTCGTGTGAGATGGAGAGGAAAAAAAAAAAAAGAAAAAACACTCCCTTTTCAATTCGTCTGGATAAATAGACTCCATTTATGAAAAAAAACCGTTGGTCTAAAGACATGAATATATTTTTGTATATTCATGAAATAAATTATAACCGAATGGATTTTTTAAGGATCATCTGGACTCATTATTATATTGTTCTGTTCTTACATTGGGCTCTCTTTGGATTAATGTCTTCCTTGTGATTATCCCTATTAATTATCAATTCATCATATATATTCTGAAAAATTCATTTCGGTCGAGCTCTCTGAGGAGGAAGTGTGGTTTTGTAAACAGTGACTATTACGGCTAATAATGCAAGACTCTTCGGTAAATAGAATCAAGTTATCTCAGTCACTGTGTGTTTATCTAAAAATAAATACGCTTAAAAATTCGCTTTCATCCCTGCTATGCGCCAACGGCTTCGTGGTAGAATCCCCGACTGACGCAAATTCAGTCGGGTTTCGATCCTAGCTAGAGGCAACCGGTCGTCTTGCCACACTGATGAGTTGTGATACAACGAAACAGTCTGCCTGTGTATCACAATATATATATATATGGGTTGAAGTAGAGAAGACGATGTTTCGATATTTTAAAATAAAATATATGTTAAACATAAGAATTTCGTTGTTTTGTCTTTAGTATAAGCCTGTATTTAGTCGATCAAAATGGCTCAATCACATGTTCCATCTGTTTAAAAGTTTGCAAACCAACTCCAGGCCTTGGGAGACACAAGCCTGTCAATAAATAATGCCAACATCTTTATTTTACTGAGCCCTTATTCGTCGTCCTAGACGAGAGAGGCCGCTATATATATATATATATATATATATATATATATATATATATATATATTGATGATGCGTTTTGTCCAAGCTATAAAACATTAACGGATTTTAAGTTTAACTGAAGAATTTAAAGTAATATAATAATTTATTATAATTTACAATTATTTTTTAGTTTATTTCATTTATTATATATATAATGATTATTATATTTATTTCGGTTTCCGATCCTCGCTCTTCGGAGCTAATCGAGGACAAAAGCGTTTCACAACGTTTAAAAAAACAATGATTTATTAAGATGCTCAATTAAGAGCAGCCAGAGAAGTAAATAGCCTGAAGAAGAAACAAGTAACTTGCCAGGAGAGTTAAACTCACGTCGCAATTTCCTGTCGCTGTTCGTTCTTAGAGAATGTTTTAAGCAGATATGGCCTCAGAAACATCTGGTTCGGCAGAACACAAATTTATTGTCATTATGACGTCTCGCTACTCTAAATTCCAACACCATTGCGGCTGAACAGCCTATAAAGGCAAAAAAAACTGTATTAATGTTATAAAAACGGATATTCTACATATATATATATATATATATATATATATATATATATATATATATATATATAATGAATTAGAAGAAAAGCAAGAATAATAAAATAAATGACCAAAGACCAGGCGTCCTTGATAAGACGATAAACTACATGCAACAGAGAGGCCTCTGATCAGGAGCTTTTGAGGAGCGTGGAACCACCTCTTAATTGCTGGTGTTCCCTGGTCCACCCTGACCTGGTGACCTGGGGTGGTAGCATCTATTAGGATCCCAGCTATGGGTAAATAGTTAACCACCAAACTGGGGGCAAAACTTGTAAAACTACGTTTCAATACCAGCAATGCATTTTTATAAAATATTTCCAGCAATAGTTTTTGAGAAAAAAGATTACCAGCAATACATTTTTGAAAATATATTACCAGCAATAAAAGTCTTGTCGGCATTAAATAACCCATTGAGGTTGATAGACCGTAAAACATATCAAGCCAAACCATAGACCGGTGAATAGAAAAAATAACAACAAAAAACAAGAAAATAACAAAGAACAGTTTTTCGGTCTTCGATCATCGCTCTTCGGAGCTAATCGAGGACAAAAGCGTAAGGTATAGTCTCATATTTTCAAATGGTAGTCGAAATGAGCTCTGTTGATTATTAATTTGTGTTAATGATAAAAACTAATCAAATATTTAACGCCCATTAAAATGACGTAATTATTTAGGTAATTTTACAATTGAAATTTGTTTCAACTTGGCTAATTTAATTCTATTATAGAATGTAAAAAATAGTAACATTTTTATATATTGGCGTTCTGAACTCACGGTAAAACTTTGCTGAAGCTACAAGAAATTAACGGATTTTAAGTTAACTGAAAAACTAAAAGTAATCTAATAATTTAA